TCAGTTATCCTTACATGACAACTATGCTAAATAAATTGAAAATAATAAAATTTAACATTTTCTTTAAAATCTAAGAGAAAAAATGCTAGAAATGTTACTAAATTAGTTTATTTCTCTTTGAATTAACTCTCTTCTGCACTTTCACAGTTGTAGTATTTTACTTATATTTTATTTCAATTTCATAACAAATTCACGCAGTAAAATCATTAACAAGTTAAAATATTTTTTCATGTAAATAATCAAGTGTATATAAGACAATAATACATCTTAATATTTATTAATTTATTGATTAAATATATTTGAGTATGCATAGCCATTAGGTTATTTGCACTCGAGTGTATATAATCACCTCTGCAAAACTATGTGCAATAAAACTTCTGTAATAAATATGAATAAGATGTTCTCTCTTAAGGAAATTACAGAAGTAGCAATCATTATAAAATTCATGTTAAAAAATCTTTTAAAAGAAAACAAATTTCAGTATTTTTTTTATTATAGTGCGCTTATTGAAAAAATATATTTGAAGAATTAATTATTTTTCACTTTCGTTTGAAGGCGCCTACTATTAAAAACAAATAAAGTACCTGAAATGAGACGTTGAGTTGTCTTCGTTTGATTTAACTCAGACAGGTATGAAAACACTGATTCTTGTTCATATAGAGAGCTTTAACAATAGAACATCAGTGAATTTTACAACAACATGTAAATTGGACTTAATCAACTCATTTTTTTTTCTAAATCGAACTGATGGCAATGAAATGCCGCATTCTCATTAGTAAATGTTTGTTTATCAAAGAGAAAGAAAAAATAAATATTTAGTCATCTAACACAATCAGGAATAGTTAATTGAGTGAAGCCAGACTTAAAGAAATGTTTCTCTTTCGTTTGATGGAACGATAAACAAATTGTGCATCCAGAGAGTATCGCTTCATTATTACACACACCGCCCATTAAAAGGGTAGAATTAGTAATAGCACGTTGAAATTGATTCAAGGTCGTCGTCTTTTACATACAACACATTAGTGCATTGTTTATATTCACCTTACAAAGAAAATTTTGTAATAATACATAACTCAAGCAGCGAAAATACTATCGAAGTATTGTGTCAACTCAAAAACAAGTCAAAACTTAGATATTAATCTTGATTTAAACGGCTAAGTCAGTCAAGTACCAATCATTTATCTACTTCAAAGTAGTTGATCATTAATAATCTTCAGCAATTATTTTTCGTCGTCAAATGTTGACATGGAAAAGTTTGAAGAAAATATTTGGATCAACTATAGAACAAGGTCAACGCACATCCACTCATAAAAAATCATCTATCGTACCGAAAAATAATGTTGTTCTCAACAAAAATCATGTTGATCTACTCATACAATGGCTCAATCAATTGAACGAACAAAATCTGATTGCTATTACGGAACAGAATGATATTGTGATCATGGTCAATGGTCATAATAATCCAGCACAACAAATTTTCGTTAATCATGACGATATCGATGCTTATATGAAAACAAAAGCCAACAATGATGATAGAAAAGATAAAAGTGAAGTCATTTCGATGCATGACATTGCTCGAATTTTACTCAAAAACGAATATGTTAACGAATCATTGGGACAATACACATTTAATACTCAAACGATCAAACCGGATAAAAGTGAATTAGAATGGCTTAAGTCGATCATACATAGTGCTACGCCTGATCTAAAATCTCGTGAGACTCAAGTCAAATTATACGATGGAAGTGGTACATGGTTACTGTGCATCCCATGGGAATATATGGCACCCACCGAAGACGTACATGCTGTCGCCAATTATCTTTGCCGAAATGGACATATTCGATATGATATTGATTCGGGAACATATGTCTATCGTTATGTTGAACCCGATATTCTACTAGATGGAAAAGTCAATACACCAGAACGCATTGCTCAACGTCAAATGCTCTCCATTCATATTCGTCATGTTCATGTCGATGAAAAAAATAAACGTATAGAAGTAGAATTTTTAGATCCAACTACCAAACATCTCATCATACCATCCAGTTGGTATCAACAAATATTTACAAATAATTTCGATCGAAACTATATTATCGATGCATTATTAGCTAACAATGGCATTATCGATCATGATGCGTTTGTATTCATGGGTAATGTTTATTCTTTGAAGGTTCCTCGTGTAACTAAAACAAAGTTGGATTCAACTCCATCACAAAATTTAAAAACAACAACCATGTTATTAACACAGAAGAATGAACTGATTCGTCGTTATGTCAATTTCATCATCGAACAAGGTGGCATTAAATATGATAATAGAAAAAATTTGTTTATCTTAGAAAATACCGACGGTGGCCGTCAAGTGTACTTCACAAAAGACCATAGCCAATGGATTCGACAAAATCGATGTCGACGATTAGATGTAATTTATGTTCTAGTCAAACAAGGGCAAATAATAGAAGATCAATCGAATAATTTATTATTATATTACAATCATCAATTCATACGACTTCCATCTAAAATAATTCAATCGTCAACATTTCCATTGTACAACTCTGATTATACTGTGGATTCATCGAATCGACCATTATATCGATCGAAAAGTTCGACAATAACATCATCAGAGAATGATGAAGCACGATTTCGTAATCGTCTTAGTCAAGAATTGCAAGAAGATTCTCTTACACACTATCACAATACTATTGATTACATGTGTCGTCATAATCTTGTAACATGGGACAAACATTTACAAGTGATAAAACTACATTTTACTGATCAAACATTATTTCTACCCATT